TATATATATATATATATATATATATTTATATGTATATATTTATATTTATATATATATATAAATATATGTATATCCAAACGAAAGGAAAACGATATCGTTCTATCCTACAGTCGCGTTAATTGGCTAATCATGCCGTACTTACAAACCGTACGATAATGTACAGTCCAAGATAATTTCTGGCATATCAAGGAAACATATTACCTAGTCTTATCTACACACGCTTCATTTTCGTTTTCAAATAAATACACGACTATCACATTAATACACGCGTCTCACCGATTCGCTCTCGCGTCTGCAACGCCGAATACGGGCATCGCTTAAAGGACATTCGTTTCTTCCCCGACGACACTGACGACACAGCTACGAATTTCAGTAATTCTAAAACGAGAAACCTGAAATTGATCAGCTCGACCGGCGTTATCTCTACGGGGTTCACTAACTCTCTTCTCGGAATATCAATTTATCAAAATGATGCGTTAAAAATTTACTAATCGCATGGACGGGTTTTAATTTCCTAGATATGGATGTTCACAAACGAACGGACGTGGAGAACGCTCTTAGAAAATCGATCGTCAACGATACAACACCCAGAAACCGATGTCCTCTGAAGCAATGGTACCGGCCTCAGCCGCGAGTCATTGTTCCACGCCAGATTTCTTGTACCCCCCGTCGTCCCGTCAGCAAAACCCGTGCAAACGATACAAAATACAAGGTCTGCGATTAATTCGATAAAGCTGCCCGGAAATGAGAAGCCCCTCTTCCTAACGTCTCCTTTCCATTTCCTATCTCCCCGCTCGATAAGCTACACGCGTTACGCTCGATCAGAGACACTCAGTTTCGTCATTACGGGAGAACGACGGTACGAGGATATTTCAACGAAAAAAATGAAGATCCGCGTCTCTCGTATTTGGCCCTCTACCCGACCATCATCCACGATGACCGCAACTACGGATCCTGTTCTCGAACGTGTACAACAATTTAACCGTTACGTTGATAACCAACATTCTCCATCAACAGGGTACCACCTCTTGTCTCTCTTCAGCTCTGACCTCACCTGTCAACAGCGTACCAAGTACTAATTACACGAGCAGCCGCTAAACAAGTAAACGAACTCTCAGCTAGTGATTCTCTCTCTACTCCGACTACCGGACTACAGTGTCCGTCAGAGGCGGGTGCTCGAGTGCAACGGTTATCCAAGAAACATGGGTACCCGGTTATCGACACAAGGGTTAACGCGTTTTCTCGCCTCTCGCAGGGCGACGCTCTCGAGCGTACCTCCGGATTCATTGAAATAATAACGCGTGTCTCTAGGCCCCTAAAGCGCAGCTCGTTCTTATCGGAGAACGCAACGGCGTACGGCTCTCAGTCAAATGGCATCGTCTTTTCTTCTAAAAGGTCTTTCCAGCTCCGCGCTCGAGTACGACCAGCCTGGCGCGCCGACGACGGTGTCTAATAGTCGTCGTCACAGGGCGGTCTCGGGAACAAGTATACTCATTCTGCGGGATCCTCTCGGGCACGCGTTCGTTCCTCCGACGGACCTCCCTCCGCGTCCGGTTACGTTTGATTGTACTTCCACGATCCTGTGCCCCGACCGTGCAGGCTCGTGAACAGACAGTCTTGTGTCTCGCCAAAGCTTCTCGACGAAGCCGTGTCCAAGGCGGCGCTTAGCTCTTCGAGTGCACGTTCGTCTTCTGCGCTTTCTTCTTCCTCGCCGCCAGCATGTCGTAGAACGGATTGTGCGATATGCTTTGCCTGTAACAGAGAAATCTCATCAACCTCTTGTGCTTTGTCATTTATGTCTTAACTAGGATCAACTACTGTGTCGTTAACTAGTAATCAACTACCCAGCAGTGAAATTCGAGTGTTCAAAGTTTTGTTGGGACTCTGAGACTTATTTTTTCAGTAATTTCGCAAACCATCTGCTATCTTTTCAATAACTGTAAGAGTCATTTTCATCCATTCGGTGGTTAATAATTCACTAGGAAAAGAATTTTGATTATTCTACTCATGTTCATTCCAAAGGTTGTTGATAATACAAAAGTGATACTGAATTTATATAAGAGAACGACCCTTGATCACACGATACTGTAGGTCAAGGGGTTAAAGGTAAATCTACTAACTAGTCGATGGTAATTTACCGACGCATCGTGTTATCATCGGTAAGTCTAGTAACAGAGACGCCAGCCTAACGAATGGCTGGAATTTCTACGAAAATAGACTGCCTCAAGCTGCTTTTTATAAAACGAGGATATTATACTTCATACTCGAGACAGGTCTCGGTGTTTGAAACGAATTTAAATCCCCCAGACAAAGTTGTGAGATAATTGCACAGGGGATTCCCCACGCGTACGCGGTCCCCTCTTTTCTATTAAAAGGTTCACGGCAGCGTGGAAACGCAGCGGCTAGAGGTAGCGGCGTGGCCTCGAGGTTTCTCTCTCCCCTCGATTATTCGCGGACTGAAACGCAATACACGACTTACCGCACGCACTTGATCCATTCTTCCTTCTCCTCGTCCGTGGCCGCAGACATTCTGTACACGGTGTGCTTGCCTGCAATAAGCGGGAGTAACGGTTAAAGGCGCAGGGTCCTGGGCGTAATTACAGGCGCGCGGGGCGACGCGACGCGAAACAGAGTTGCGTTAAATGGCGGGCTAACGCGCGCGCGCGCGCGACGTGAGAAAAAGATACTTCGTTCCCAACGTTTCTCGCTCTGTTCCGACGTGCCCTTTTTTTCCTTTGACTTCCATCAACTGAAACGCACATTGCGCTGGCCCGAGCACGTGAGAACGGAACGGTTTCACTCGGGGCTCGAAGAAGACATTGCGAACGGTTTTCAACAGTTCAACTGTAACGTTGAATAACGTGGTACTAAATGAATATTTGGACCAGAGTCTGCTATTTTGATAGATGTTTCTTATGATAGCTTCTAGCTTTAGGAATTATTTGCAATTGAACAATGACTCTATTTTGTCAAGAATACCACTGGAAGCTATTTTGATAGAAGACGTTTCTTATGATAGCTTCTACCTTTAGGAATTGTTTGCAGTTTAACAATTACTCTATTTCAGCAAGAATACCACTGGAAGCTATTTTGATAGAAGACGTTTCTTATGATAGCTTCTAGCTTCAGGAATTATTTGCAATTGAACAATGACTCTATTTCAGCAAAGATTACCACTGGAAGGTCAGTTTCTCTATAGAACCTCCAAGATCGAAATAAAAGGACGTCAATTCTTCCAGAGAAGCAAACGGAACGAACTACAAATTTTACAGAAGCATACTTCCCAGCGCAAGAAGTTAAACTTCGAACCTCCAAGATCGAAATAAAAGAACGTCAATTCTTCAAGAGAAGCAAACGGAACGAACTACGACGAGCACCCGCGAAGCTAGTGTTAATTATCGTCGCGCCTCAGTCGTCGAGCGGAAGCCGGCAATCGTTCGTCGCATTGCGGGTCAGAAGATCGCGCGTTGATTAATTCCCATCCCGTGGCCGGGAGGGCGGCGGCGGTGGTAGCGGCGTACCTTCGACGACTTTTCCCTCGCTGTCGGTCTTGCACGCCTTGATGAACTCGGATCCGGCGGCGTACAGCTCGAAGCAGTGCGGTTTGTGCCGGTCCTGCACCTCCCTGACCTGAATGTTCTCCAACGGTATGATGCCCCGTGGCTCCTTGTCCGTGGTGTACTCGAAGTAGTACAGACAGTTGTCGTTCAGTATGAACCATCGCCTCTTCCAGCTCTTGTAGCGTCCGCCTGGAACAGCGAGCGGCCCGTATGTAGCTGAGGATCGTTGCACCGGTCAAAGACTCGTTATTTACCTGCTGTCTCCGTCAGGGCAGCAGAGGGACAAAGCGATCCGATATAAGAATAAGTAGGCACAGAACGCTACCGAACGATCAGTCGACTTCGCCGGGGTGCGGTTACACAACCACGGGAACTAACGACTCCCAAACGTTCTCGTCCTTTCACTTTCCTCTCTTCTCCTTTCTCTCCGTTTCGTGTCTTTCTTTCTTTCTTTTCTCTCCCGATCCTACAGGCGGAGGACTACCACCGTCGTGAATGTCGCCCGGTGATTCACCGAGGCTCCAACCGGAGACACGAAATACCTGGGCGCCCCTATCTCCCGAACTGCTGACAGTATCCTCGGAATGCATCCGAATAATGCTGAAAACATCCGAGCGATCCGGGACGCCCGGTAGACCTTCGAGAGTTTGGGAGACGATGTTCCGGGACGTTCTCACTCGTACCTTTGTGGCGGAATTTTAAATAGTCCTTTCACCTTTCGACCGTCTCGACCCGGCTCTGCCGGGACGTTCGATGAAGATCGCTTAGCGGATTTTGTATTTTACAGGCAATGTTTCTGTGTATGTTTGTCGGTTTATTTATCGATGGAGTTTCGTGGATGTTATGTTGGTTTAGAGCTTTAGAAGTTTGCTGTGCGAGAATTCTGTCGATTTTTACTTGGTTAGATAGTGTGTTAATTTTGATCAGCTCGCGAGTTGTTCATTTGAGTAATTGAAACGCTGATCCGCTAAGGTCAACTTCATCGCGAGCACTACCAGCAGAACCGGCAGTGAAACGCTTCGCGGAGCGTGAAGTCCGAATCTGACATGGATTAACCCTTTGCGGACGAGGATTCCTTGAAGTACGGAAAACGGTCAGCTGATGAAGCTAAATTATATATTGCTTAGATAATTGAACTAAGGAAACTACGTACTGGCGTCTTGTTGTTCGAGCAATTGAATCATTCGTTTGCCAATTAGCGTTTCAAATATGAAAATTTAAAATATTCAAACCTTCGGCGGAGCAAGTTTTGAATCCTACAAAGTAAAAGGAGCTATGCATCGAGCTTTTATGCGAATAATTACATAGTGTTGTCTCTATACCTTCAGTATGAAAGTTTGAAAAATTCCGCGGTTCGTCCTCAAAGGATCAAGTATAATAACGTTACTCGACCCCTTGTCTTACGGTTTTTACAAGCATACATCAGATTTACTTAATCACTAACCACTTGCGCTGGAAATTCAGAAATTTGGCAAAGTCTGCGATGAATTTTCTTCTTACCTATTTTTCTGATACGTACACTTATTTCATTTGTTAATCATTCTATATACAGTGATACATTTCGAGGTAACAGGCGTAATGCAACAAGATTATCCACGTGAAAGACATCATCGAGAATTTTCGGATAGAAGCGTCTCGACGTCTTTCCAGCGCAAGTGGTTAACGAACCGAGTAAAAAATAATTACCGTTAAAGCATTCTTTTCTTGACTCTCGGTAGTTAAAGAACAATGGTAATCACATTATAAGACAGAGGGTCAAAGTGCATCTCGTTCGTTCACACCGTCATCAGCGACGTCGCCCGTACGCGATAACCGATAAACATTCCTCCCCTGTTTTGTCCGCTTTAAAAATAGACGTTCGCTATTCAAAATCCCGCCACACCTTTCAACCACGAACCCAACCCAACAGCACCACGTTCAACCCTTTACAGGCGACGAATCGAACGACGCTCTTTCCCATTCACGGATTGATCTCGGCCGGCGATCGATCGAGGAACGCGACAGGATCTTAGTATCGCGCATCCGCATCCTGCTGCCACCCGCATGTCACGGAAGCGATGCGTATCGCTTTACGCTCGGTGGGTGGTGCCCCGGCTCCTCGAACGAGATGGATCATACGAGGAGAGTTAGGGGAGGAAAGGGAGCGTCCGGAGGCGAGTGGGCTTAAGTGCTCGGGAAATGAAACAAATGGAAAGTGAATTACAGTATTGGGAGGATTGTAGTCGGGGTTGCGAACGAGAGAGTTTTGATGGTAGTTGGCTGCTGCACCCTTTGTTTCCAAATTTTTTAGAATTTACTGTGTCATTGACACTTCCTTGTTTGTTCTATGTTTTATGATAGAGATGTTAACCGTTAACCCTTAGCAGTCCTATGTCGAGTCAGACATTCTATTTTATTGCAACCTTTACTTGTTTTAATAATTTTTTCTACATTTATTTGTAGCGTCACAACTGTACCGTTTAAAGGTAACATTTCAGTGACTCCCAAATATTCTTGAATAAATAGAGCATCACGTTAACTTCGGACCACACAGGGTTAACCCTTTGCACTCGACAGTATTTTTCATGAAAAATATTCGTTACTCTCTGACTAAATAATACAACACAATTGATTATATTATATAAGTTAAGTGCTCTCGAGTGCAAAGGGTTAATTTTTCTGCGTACACACCTACTTCCGCATTTTTGCTAAATATCCACAAAAGTTTAGCATCCAAACGGTTAATACCGATTAAAATCTACAATATCAACATAAGATACTCGTATCGTTTCAATCTCAACCATCAACCCCAATGATCCTTCGATCAACTTCAACTTCTACTTATTTCCTTCTGTCTAACCCTCTTCATACCCACTCCACATTTACACTCTTCTACCGATATCGATTAAAATCTACAATATCAACACAAGATACTCGTATCGTTTCAATCTCAACCATTAACCCCAATGATCCTTCGATCAACTTCAACTTCTACTTATTTCCTTCTCTAACCCTCTCCATACCCACTCCATATTTACACTGTTCTACCGTACTTCCTCCAGCCGTCTCCCATAAGCCCCCACCGCCCTGGCCATGAATCAAAGGACCGTTAAATAAATTACCCTCATCATCGGCCTGCAAGGAAACGACGCAAGACGCGTTAGTTACCCAGGAAACGAAACAAACGAACGGAAACAAATGGACCTCCGCGACTACTCGATAATTTCTTCGTCCGCGGTGCTGCTCCAACCACGCGCCTCCATCTGGAACCTCTCTCGGCCCTCCAGCGGGACTCGGCTACCATTTATTATCGGATTAACCGGCCGATGTTCCCGTTTTTCATGCTCCTCGTATGACCCATTAAAACAACGCACCGAGAACGAGCCCCGGGGCGCGTCGATTCCGGCGAATAAGGAGGAACGACGTCCGCGGCTCCATAAAGGGTTGATGAAGACATTAACCCTTTGCACTCGAAAGCTGCCTCTCGCTCGCCACTCGATTGGTGCATGAAAATTGTGAATTTCTTATTTAAATCTCCAGTAATCTGTCAATACTTGAAGCGTGGAAATGAAATATTGTTCCACTCATTTTGTCAATAGATTCCTCGTTAACCCTCCATGGCCCGAATTTTTGTTCATAACAAAATCTATGCAAAATTAATAAATATCCGCATACGAATACGAATTAATGCATTGAATAATTTCAATAGTTTCAAACGAATATATTCTGTAACCTTCAAGTCGCAACGACATTAAACTTTCTCGCCTGAGCGTATGAAGGTTCAAGTCAACTGATTACTTTATTTTATTCATCATTTTCGGTGCAAAATGAAGTAAATCAACAAGATGTCAATATACTGATATGACTTCAAAGTTACACGAGCCTGCAGAGGGTTAAGTTAGTTTGAAAAAATGTGATCTACATCTCAGAGAAATGAATCGAATATTTCTAGTGACAAACTTTTCGAGTGCAAAGGGTTAATGTCTCCATTCATCCGGATCACGGGAATTTCTCACGCGAGAATGCGGCCCGCGACATTCTACGGTCAAGCCGCGCCTCGCCGGCATTCTTTCCGCGGCCACACAAAATCTCTCTCTCTCTCTCTTTCTCTTCCTTTCGTGCCTCTCAGATCACACCGGGTCAAAAGGTGCACGGGACCACCAGGTGGAAACACGTCGATCGAATTTTCCGCGGGACGAGCAGCTTTACCTTGCTTCCAGAGCCAGCCTTCCTTGTCCGGGTTGAAGAAGGTGTGCATCAAGTCGTTCCCGTCGTCCTCCGGTATCTTGAACGGCTCCGTTTTTATGCTTTCGTAGAGACTCTGCGGAACAAAGGGGATATCTGGCTTTAGAATTGGGCGTGCGGTATTTAAATGGTTCTTTTTTGATGCTGTCGCCGCCGTGTCGCTGGGAGCAGTTGGGTGGAGTAAGTTTTTGCATGGATTTGGAAGTGAGTTCTCTCGAATGTCGATGTTAGACCTGGTTTCGATTGGTTTTCGTTAGATGTACGTTGAATGTGAGATTCTAGTCGAATGAAGCGTAGATTGTTGTTCGGTATGGATTAGATGTAATATTGCGTCAACGCGAGTGAAGTATGAGATTTTAATTTTGATTTTATTCCAATATTTCACGTATCGAGGCGTTACACAAAGTTCAACATTAAATATCATATTTTATAGTTTTACCGTATGAAATCAAGTGATGACTGAGAGTCACCTCCCGAGTGAAAAGGGTTAATATAGTCGTCGCCGATCGAATGATTTACCAGTGATCCTCCGCGATGTTCGTTCGCAACGATAATACCAGTGTCTAGTAATAGATTCGTTAATTTACGTATTTACGGTTCAGCGAGATTAAGTATTCGGAGCGGCCGAGGTAAAAGGAGGATAATGAGTGCAGGGGAATACCGGAGGAAACGAAGGCCCCGCGTAAATACTGAAACAGATTTTATAACACACAGAAAACGATTAACGGTCGGGGAAATTCCCACTTTCCGGGATACAAATCGTGAGCGTCGATGGAATTAATAACCCAAACGGTATTCAACTTAGCACTCCATAATTTATAACGTAATTTCCGCTGTAATTTGTTTCCCCTCGGGGGCAACGCAATGAAATGGAAGTTTTAGAGCCGATATGAAATCTAATCGAGCAACTGTTAATAATGTAATGAAATCAATTAGTCTTAGCCTCGACAGAGCACTTTATTGCCTATATAAATTCCGAAATATTCATGCGAAGTCCGTTTGAAAAATAGAGCACTGGAAACTACTCTAAAAGAGAGCCATTATGCTCTTTCCTTATTTCGTCCAATGCAGCGTCCATTTTATCATTTACATCACTGTTATTGTAAAATTTACAATGAGCATGTTAACCCTTTGCACTCGCGAGGTGACTCTCACCACTTGGTTTGATATAGTAAAATCATAAAGTTTGATGAACACTATTCGATTAAATTATTTACATTAGTCGCGAAAGCGTCGTCTACATTTTATCAAAGAGCGTTGAACATTTCTAGTGAAAAACTGTCGAGTGCAAAGGGTTAAGCATCGTGCCAGGTCACTTTTCTGAATTTCTTTCCGCTCGTTGGCGTTTCTCGCGGTGAGTAAACTCGAAATACTTCCGGTCCGTCGACGAATTAAGCGCCACGAAAATCTTGACCGTTTGTTCACAGTTGTTTACCGTTACAACCGTCGCATTAGACTATCGTCGACTCGGTTACGTTACTAAACATTTTCATCCGGTGATCCTGTGCGACGACCGAACGGCAGAGTATCTTCGCGAAGCGCCGCGTCGTCGACGCAACGTGCGTCGCTTTGCATAAATCCGTCATTAAGGTATCAATGCGACGGACTTCCCGTTAGAGTTCGCCTAATGGCCGCGAGCGACTTCTAAAGCGCGACAATTGCTTTATATCCTGGCCACGGGCCGCGCGGATGCGAGCGCGCGAGGCAGTCGGGCGACCTTTCGCGGCGCAAGCTCGATGACGCGCGTCCGTTGTTGCCACTCGGCCATTGTGTTATTTGTTCCGTTTATTAGGGACCACTCGACACACTCGGAGGTCCGCGGTTGCGCGATGGAATTCCTTGGGAAACTTCCTGGTCGCTTCGTTTTCGTTACGATGGAACTCCGAATGACGCGAAAATATTTATTTTTCAATTAGGCTAGCTTGCGATCTTTCATGATATCTGAGTGTTATGTTTAGAATTGGAATTCCGTTTATTTTATTTAAAAATATATTTAATATAATATATATTATAATTTAAATATATTTAATATAATATATAATATATATTTAAAAAAAATATATATATATGTATAAAATATACAAAAAGAGAAAAGATAAAAGTCCCAAGACCTAAAATAGTAAGTATACAGAAAGAATAAGAAGAAATCTTTGTATTCTCTATCACATGGAATTCCGTGTCGCGCGTTCGGTTTCTTTTTTACCGAGACGCGAATTCCTTTCACGAGTGCACCGTTCGCGAATGAATCGCCAGCGATTAAAATGGCCCCGGCAGGTGCAACAGTTTCGTGACGAGTAAACCATGACGATTAGCCACGATTCACCGGAAACGATTGCATCCGAGCGGGTCCGGTAACAGTAAATCAACGATACTCGTCGGTTCCCAGCGTAATTGAACGTCACGACACGGCGAAGTCGCAATTTCTCGTTGTTCTGGAAGCGCGAACGCGGAACCGGCGCTACGTCGTTACGATACTGTTTGAACGCGGTAGCTGCGGCCGCCCACTGCAACATGGAAATGATATGTTCGTGCAATTGATCGCTCTGTTCGTTGATTTAACGAGGAAATAGCTCTCGCTATGATGAACCTTGATCACGGCGCAGCGTTAGGCGTGGTAGCCTTTGAACTATAGCGATGATGCTCGATAATCGACGATTCAATGGTAATTCGTCCGATTAACTGGACAATTTTCCGAGCATAAATATCAATTTATGAGAAAGATAAAGAAGAACCCAACGCAACCTCGAAACAAATATTTCTGAAAGTAAATACTCGAGGAAATCCAGCTACAATCTAAAACCCCAGAAAATCCTCGGCGTTTCACTCCCAGAAGCAAACAACCCTAAACAACCCTAAACAACCCTAAAGAACCCGAAACTCAAGGTATCAAATAAGAGTCACTCACCACGAGTAGCTCCCGCGGAAGATCGCCGCCATTGTTGATGCCCCTGTTCATGGATATGAACTGCTCGACGCTGGGCTTGTCCTTGACGCTGGGGTTGTGCAGCGAGGTGTTCAGCATGATGATGGCGAAGCTGAGCACGTAACAGGTGTCCGTGTTCGTGAAGATGTTCGGGTTCAGCTGGCAGTACCTCTGCGCGAAGCACTCCATCATCCTGTCGATCTTCTGCGCCTCGCCGGGCAGCCGGAAGGACCACAGGAACTGCCTGAGCGCCTGGACCAGGATCAGGTCCGTGAAATCGTGTAGCTCGACGAACGCCCTGAGCACCCTCTCGTTGAAGTCGTGCCTCTCGCCCAGGTAGTCGCCGATCGCCGTCTTGTTCAGCCCCTCGCCCTTGTACAGGAACTGCGCGACGTCCTCGGGCGTCGGCGCCAGGAGGTTGTGCTCGATCAGGTACTCGATGCCCTTCTTCGGGTCCATGTTGAACTTCTTGCGGCCGATAGACGTCTGCTTCGCCTTGTTCGACGGCTTGGTCTCGTCGGCCGCGAGGCCGCCGCCCTCCATCGCCTCCATCTCGGCCACCACCTCGCCCAGCTCATCTTTCAGTTGCTGGAAACAGAGCAGAGAGGTGTGTCAGAGGATCGCGAACCGAACGGCTTCGTCGGTTTGTCGCGCGTCGCTGGGTCATCTTAGGGGCGGGGGTGGGCTTCGATCGGCAGCGTTTCCTCGTCAGTTTCTTTAGGTTCTACAAATAGCTGCGGGGATCAGTCACGAAGGGTATTAGATTGGAATTACGGCGCAGTTTGATTATTTAGGCCTACAGGGGCAGGTTTAGGCGCTGGCCCGACCCCTGTCTTAGGGGATTCCTCCGAGCAAAGGGGAGAGTGTAACGGAGACAGGTATCGAGTGAATTCCGCTGGATTCGGGATGCGTCGATAGATCGGAGATCCACCGGTAAATGAACTTTTGATGAGCTTCGCTTTCTTTTAGGGGATGGAAGCGTGCTGTAGGATGTATGGCACTAAGGGAAGACTGTACCGGCAACTTTGTAATAGAGTTTAGAAGAGCTACGGAACTCGGATTCCGCTGGCAACGTTTCCTCTTTCAATCTATTGGCAATTTAGCTTCTTTTCGAGTACACCTGGGATCCCGTTGCGAAACGGCCGTTCTTAAAAACTGGGAACGCTGCGTTCTCCGGGGATATTGTCCGATGGTTCTCTGTTATTCGAACAGCCTAGAATATCTGGGATTGAAATAGATGTTGCTAATACTCCGAGTAATCCCGCGTCGTAAATCAAAGCGAGGCTACCCCACGAATTGGACGCCAGTCGAAGATCGACGAACGATCTCCGATTTCGTCCCCGGCCTTCTGTGTTTCTTTCACCCCGAGGTTTCCTAGTCGCCGAGGCTAGGCTCTCCCTAATTCCTAGCCAACTTCGGAGGAAGTCCTTCACCTGGCGCGCACGCGCTCGCGCGAGTCCTCCCGTTCCCGATCTAGATAAACCGAGTGCTTTCCAGGGGTGAACGAGAGGGAAGCGTCGCGAGTGTGACACCACCCTCCCACGCGCGCAGCGTTTATCGAACGCTCGAACGCTTCCTGCTGTCAAGGTTTGATACACGCGATAATGCGACCGACTGGAGGAGGCTCCGGTGTTGTTAGGCGAGGGGCGAGGGCTGAGACTGCGAGCCCCGACGATTTGTCCTTCAGGTGGGAATATTCAACCGTGAATTTTTCCGGGAATCGTGAACGGTTTCGTGGAACGCGAAGTCGAATACTGCGTTGTCGTTTGGAAGTTGTCGTTTCCTATAATTATTTGCGGATGGAAATTTATTATTTATCGCAGTTTGCGAATGGAGAATTTACCGTCTATATTTTAGAAACTTACGATATAAACGAATGGAAAGAAGCTTCTACGAAAATTGACGATCTAACGGAAGCTTCGTTAACCCTTCGCGGACGAAGATTCTCTAAAGTATAGAAAACCTGTAGATTTTGAATATAGACAATATAGAACAAGGAAATTGAGTACTGGTTTCTTACTGTTCGAGTAGTCGAATCATTTGTTTGCGACTCGATCTTAGCAAAGTGTCGACATTCGTCCGCAAAGGGTTAACAACCTTCGGTAAAGCTCTGTTTTACAGATTAGCTTGGAGTATTCCCGTGATTTATCGTTTCTGTGACACAGAAATGAAATTGCAGTTCTCAGTTCGTCCGGGAATAATTTTCGCTGCTCGAAATAAACGCGAGAGATCTCGTGGTTCTGCTCCGTTCATAAAAGGGAACGTTTCCCGTAAATTACTCGCCGCGACGCGGTAGACAGCGTTCAAACTCCGTCGGCCGTGTCTCACGGTTATGTTTTGACCCGGAACCGACCGCCTTCGACCTTAATCCGGGATCAGACGGTCCCGGAAAAACGCGGCCTCTTTAATTGCGACACGACGCCGAGGAAAAGTTCCCGGGCGCAGGGCTTTGCCGTGGCAGTTTACGGCGCGCGCGCACAGGAAAATCGGCCAGTGGACCGTGCAAGGTTTCGGCGAGCCTCGGAAAACGCCTTATTATTTTTAAGCCTCGCTTGGCCGTCCCCGACCCTCCGACAATCGACAATTTCGTGTTTCCGTGAGCCGCTGTTCTGCTTTTTACAGGAAGACTAATGTCGCTCCGTCTCGCCGGAGTTACCCGAAGAATGTACACTCTTATGGGAAATGAAAAATATCCTCGAAGTTTCGAGTGTAATTACTGCCGAATGAAGTGTAAAGTTTCATTATGAAATGATTGGAATTCAATCCAAGAGTTTCATAAATTTATACATGTTGCTTAGAAGTCAATGTCTATATTTTCTGATTTTCGCAAACTTTAATCCTTTATCAAAGGGTTCTCAATTAAAATTTAATCGTTGGGTAATAGAAATATTATCTCGTCCATTTCTTACTATAATCCTTTATCAAAGGGTTCTCAAATATAATTTAGTCGGGTAAAGGAATATTATCCCGTCCATCTTTTACTATAATCGTGTCTCTAATACGTAGAGTTTCCAGAGACACGACGCGACACACGTAAAAAGTACACGTGTACACCCACTCAAACTGGAAAATAAAAGACAAAAACAGTCAATCCAGTTCCCTGTATCCAACCGCGCATTTCAATTCCATTCAAACGACGAGTCCCTCCGAAAGTTCGGAAACGAAACTCCCTTTTCGTCCCCGGCGAAGCCAGAAACTTTTCGAAGCTCGCTTTTCCGGGGAGGGGAAAAAACGGGTTATTGGCGGAACAAACTCCTCGTTTGTCCGGGAGCAGGATAAAATCCTGCTTAATTACCGACGAAAGGATATCCGGCCTAATTAACGTTCGACTTTCTTTCCCGCGGAGGAGACGCCGCTCGTCGGATGCTCGCGATCGCGCGGAATATTCATCGATCGCGTCGGCGGGATCGCTAACCCGATTTCCAGGAATTGTAAAACTAATTGCAATCGGCCATTCCCCTATCCCGCGGCGCTCTCTCGTTCCGAGTCATCCGTTTCCATGACTTTCCACCCGCGATTGTCTCGGCCGGCCGCCATTTCTGTTACGCTTTCGTCGAACCGACGCGACGCGACTTCGCGCTCGCTGGATGCGAGCATAAACCACGGAATTACTCTGTTGCTGGAACATCAAGCGTTACTAGACGCTTAAAACTTCTTATTTAAGATCGCGAATGGAGAAAGTGACGTTTGAAAAGCGAATCAACGTTTGTCGCTTTCGTTGTCATCGGTACGATCGAGATCGGCACGAAATTCCCAAGCTGACGCCATTTTCAGCTACCCTCTCTTTGTAACAATTCTTTCTGCACAATCTATGAAATTTATATTGATATCTATAAAATTTGCAGATCTTTATTCTTAATTCCCGACGCAACTTATTGACCATAAAATTCGAACGGAATTATTAACACAAAATTTCTGATCGCCACGAGTGAGGAATACTTTCTTCGCAATCAGAGCGTGCATCTTTATGCAAATCGCAATTTTTGTGGAACACCTTGCGAACATCGAAGGAGCAACGAACCTTCTTTAGTTCCTATCGAGTTCATTATTGCGCATCGTGTAATTATTATTTTACTATATTATTGCACGTGATCGTGTTCTGTGCATACGCGGCTACCATAAACCCGTGAGAAAGATATTCGCGGTGTATCGATAACCGTGTCCCTTCGAGCGAGGCTATTGAAATCCTCGGAGGACCGACAAGATGGCTTCCGCTCTGTTTCCCCGAAAATCGTGTACGATCCGATTGGATGGCTGCCGGAGGTCGAAGATCTCTGAAGATTGCCGGGCAAATAATCGTGCCCGACGAAGCACCTGCCGTTTGCTCTTCAGGGTCTTCCAGCGACCCGTTTCCACGGTACTCTCTCTCCCTCTCTCTCTCTCTCCTCCTCTCTCCCTCTCTCTATTTCCGTCTTTGTCCTTTGCGTAACATCGTGGTTCGTCATTCCGGCGGAGGTCGGTATTATCTTTTTCCTGCCTACTTTCCGCGACGATCCATAAATCTTCCCTTTTGTTTCGTGCGTCTCTTATGCAATCATATATTTAATTATTCAACGTTCTCCGGGGCGAGTCGCCTGCCCCCGAAGCCTTCAGCAATTCAGATCGCACGCGATACGATATTTCTTTGATACACCTGCTTTCCTTGTTGGCGGATTCATTGGGACAAACGGAATTCGAGCGAAATTTTTCGACTGCCCGATGCAGTGTTGCTTTATTCCCTTTGGACTCTGTTCTTTGGTGTCGTCTTAACACTAGAACTACGTGCCAGTCAAAATGACTTTTGGGCTGCCCGATGCACTGAGCGTTGCTTTATTCTCTTTGGATTCTGTTCTTCGGTGTCGTCTCAACACTAGAGCTACGTACCAGTCAGAATGACTGGTTTCGACTGTTTTGTTTCGGAATTATTGATATCTTAAAAGCATTGAATATTTGAAATGATCTTGAAAATAAACAGCCTCACTTGAATACTACAATGAATGTTTGTTTTACATATCAATCGTTTTAAATCCGTAGTTCTAGTGTTAATGACGCCGGAATATGGATATTGTAACACGGAATTATTGAAGTCAAAAGATTGAAATATCTAAGAATACTATGGCAAACATTGAAAACAAAGAATCGAAGATAATAGAAATTTGAATAATTATGAAATGCATGTTTCATCCACTCTCATTAATTCCAATGGCTTTCTTTCGCGTACAATTCATTGCTTCTCCACTGTACTTGCGTTTTCAGCGACTTAGCCTCGTTGGTCTCGGTACTTCGTTAATATTAATAATAGAAACGCGAGGAGTTGCAAAGGCTCGCGTCACTTTATGCACACGTATTCGCGACGAACGTGTTTCCTGAGATTCTAGTGGGAACGAGAGTGGAAATGCCGTGGCACTCGTGTCGCGTCTGTATCGACAAGTGTTCCTCGACAAAAGCGGACGAGGACGTGGAACGCATCGTGAATGTATCCGGTTAAAAATAAACGTTGCGCTTCCTTAGCGGAGGGCCACGATAAACAGTTTTAGGGCGAGCCGAGCGATAGCGAGCGGAAAATTTACGTCGCCGTGCCTCGGGACGTTTCTTCGGGCGCAGACTTT